TAAAAAAAAAAAATGAAAGTGAGGAAGAGGCAACAGGAAAATTTGGTTACTAGTCGGGGAAGAGAGTAAAGAAGCAGTAATAGTAGGCCTAATAATAGGGACAAATATAAGATCAACTCAAACCCACATATAATTTTATCCCACTTAATTCAGACCAAAGCTAAATAATAAATGGGTGATGAAGAAAGCAATTAAAGTAAATTCATATGAATAAATATATATGGGGCTGGGGATGTGGCTCAAGCAGTAGCGCACTCGCCTGGCATGCGTGCGGCCCAGGTTCGATCCTCAGCACCACATACAAACAAAGATGTTGTGTCTGCCAAAAACTAAAATGAATAAATATTAAAATTCTCTCTCTCTCTTTTAAAAAAAGAATAAATATATATGTATATGTGTATTAAAAATTAAATTAAAAATTTAAAAATTAAAAAGGGGGCATGTGGAAAAATATGATAAATCGTAATGAGAAATAAAGGGCTTATTTCCAGAGGTGCTCAAAACTGTTGGCAAGGATAGATTTTCCTTCTTTGTATTATGGGCTCTTGTCGGGGTTTTTAGCTCCCCCACTTCCCGCCCGTTCCCTCCTGACCTGTGGGAGAGATTGGGGGAGCATGCCAAGAAAGGTAAAGGTCGACTGGCCGCCCACACCCAGCCCTCCCTCCCTGGAGGACAATCGGACGCGCCAGGGAGAACTGTCAAAGCAGGATCTTGTTTAATGAGAAAACATACACAGCTAATATACTGTACAGGAGCCAGTCAGGATAAAGGTCAGCAGGATGGGGAGAGTTCACATGTACACCCATCCTACAGGCAGTAATGTCCGTGAGGGCAGAGGGGTTCTGAGCCTATCCTAGAGGTGGTCTTTTTCTTCATCACAACCCATGGCAATGCCTTCTGGCTAATCGCTAGGTGCTCTCTTAGCCAATGTGGCCCCAGGACTGGGAAGCGGGTAGCAGCCAGCAAGTTAAGTTTCCTCTTTTCTAATGCAACATGCCCCACGTTACATTATGCCCTACATTTCCCTCGTTTTGTTTTATTAGCAGGTGTTTGCCTTACTTGAGAGTGTGCCTGTCTTAGGTCGTCCCCCTCTGGGGATCTTACCCATCATTGACTACCACTCTGGCTCTTCTGGCAGTTCACCTGCAGGGTCGGCAGACCCAATGGGAAGCTTTAAGGAAGGTAGATGTCTATCGCCTATGAAGGAAACCTTTCTGCTCCGGGCTTACACCTGCATGTCCTGGTAGGGGCCATGACCAACCTTATAGGGTTCCCAGTCAGTATCTTGTAAGACAGCATGTTGCTGCCAGACAACCATCAGTTGAACAGCTCTGGCTCGATAAGGGAGCCACCCACCCGTTAGCCCAGTCCTTAGAAATCTAGATTGCAGTTCATTCCAACAGATTTTAAGGTCTTCTTGTAGTCTCTTGATCTTGTCTTGGATGATACCGGAGTGATTGGCATAGAAGCAGCACTCCTCCTGTAGGAACTCTGTTGATGGGTATTTGAGATTGATCCACACCCACAGTTGCTGGGAATATGCCAATCTCTACAGGACATTTGGATCATAGATGCCTTCTGCAAATTCTATTTTAGGGGTAAAGTCTAAACCTCCAAAGGTTTCACATTCACTGCTGTGGATGTGAATTACCCAGTATCAGCCCTGGAGTGCAGACATTCCTATCTGGCTGTGATTGGTGTCTTCCCAGTAGCTGTTATCAGTTGTCAACAATAAAGGGAGTTCTGTCTTCTTGATAGCTTAAGCCTAGATTTTCTAAGCACAATTCTTTCACACTTGTTTCAGTTACACTGACCTAGACACCCTCCGTGGCCCATATAGGTGACTGCTTGCAAATTTTTTGTGAGTTCCCAATCTTTTGCTTCTGCTTGCTGCCACACAGTGCTTATAAATAATTCTAGCACAGGTGACACTGGTTCCTTCCAAACTGTCTGCCCATGGCTGAGCACTTTTCACTCAACAGCTTCCCCCACTGACCCTGGGTCCATTAAAATCATCCTCCCTCTCTATTACACAGGTTACCCTATAAGCTATTTTTTTCACTGAACTTTGCTCTCTCTGCCTGTGTACTCCCTCCCGCCAGCAGCCAGGGATGCAGCCATAGTCATCAACCTAGCTGTTGCTTCTCTAAAGTATTATTTCTTATTATGTTTGAAGTTTCTGACTTTCTGTGTCTCCATGATTTCTTTTACTGTCCAGTATTGAATTTCAGTGAGTTCCCTTAGTTACCCACCTCAAGGAGCAATCTTCCGCTTTTTGAGTCTGGTGCTAAGGAACTGCTAGGAAGTACATACTTCCTCTAATCCACCATCTTCTCTCCCAGGATTTTTTTAGTTAACATAATGTTTTCAAGATTCAACCATGTTGTGGTATGTACCGGTACCTTATTCCATGTAAGACTAAATAATTGTCCATATTTCTATTATTCCATTGTACAGATACGTTACATTTTATTTATTGCATGCATTCCCTGATGAACATTTGAGTTGTTTCTACTTTTGGAGTATTATGAATAATGCTACCATGAACATTCACATACGAGAGAATATATTTAAAAGGATTGACAGGACTTGAGTCAGTTACTAGTTGGTGAAGGAGAAGGAAGTGTTAAGGATACATGTCATATTTTTAACTTGAATGATTAGTATTCAAAGCCACAAGAAAGTGTGCAGAGTAAAAAGAGAAGAGAGAAAAGTGAGATAAATGAAGGTAAAGTAGTTGTATAGAAAATGTATGCTAACTCCAGCCCTATATGGTTGCAGGTAACAATTTTAAAGAAACCAGTGTTTGTTTTATGACAATAGGCTTAGCTCAGAGCTCTTAAGATAGAGGAACTGCTCCCTTCCCCCATCCCTACAAGGCCAGAGGTATTCTTATGTTCTATATATTACCTTTTTCTCAGCAAATTACGTATACGAGTACTATTTGTAGTCAACCAGGTGAACAATTAATACAAAGATTACTGCATGTAAGTAGTTAGTAGTGGGGAGTGCTATTTTCAATGTAGAAATGTGGCTATAAAGTTTATTTACTCAGAGACCTTTATGGTAGCTTATATATTCAACATAGATTTATTGACAAGAGGGGTAGGGATTTAAAGGAATGAGAGCTTGCTTTTGTCTATGGAGATTAGGGAAGACTTTATGGAGAAGATAGTATTTACCTGGGACCTTAAAATTTAGGTAGAGTTTTAATAAGGGCATAAAGAAAGCAGGACATTCTATGACTGGGTAGCATGTACAGTGGCTCAAAGTTGGTGATACCAGGCTAAAGAGTTTAGATTTGGGGTGGAGGTCATAAAGAGCCAACATATTTTGTTTTGGTTTGTTTTACCTGGAGAGTAACTCAGAAAGATTTATCTTCTAGCAGCATGTAGGAAAAATTAGAATGGGGAGGTGCAAGTGATAGAAGGAACCAGAACTTAAGAATTCATTAGATATTATGTTAGATTTCCATTACTGAAAAAACACCCAAGATAACAAACTTATTAAGATAAAGGTTTATTTTGGCTTACAGTTCTGGAGGTTCCAGTCCATGGCCACTGAGACCCTTTGCTTTTGGGTCTGTAGTGAAGCAGTACATCACAGTGGGGAGCATATGGTGAAACAGAGCCACTCACCTCATAGCAGGGAAGCAAAAAAAAGAGGAGTGGAGAGACCAGGGTCCCACGATTCCTTTCTAGTGCATGCCCCAAATGACCTAAAATCTCCCGCAAAGCTCCACTGCTTAAAGGTTCTGCTACCTCTTAGTAGTGCCACAAACTGGGACCAAACCTTTAACACTTGGGCCTGTGGGGCACATTCCATATCTAAATGTTAGCAGACTTATAGGGCAAAGGGAAAAATAGTCTAAGAGTCTAAAGACTGTATAATTGGAAAATGGTGTACTGTTAATTGAAATTAAGACAACAGGAAGAGGATTTGGAGGGCATGAGGGATGGAAAAGATAATGAGTGTTCTTGAAAGTGCTTTTGAAAATGGGAGATGTGAGAGGCCCATACACAGAAATAATCATTGAATGTGTGGGATTAGATAAGTTGGTTGGGTTCATTGTTCAGCAAGAAGTCTGGACTTAAGGGAAAAAACTACCTTTAGTGGGAAGTAGGAAAAAGAGCCCACAAAGGAGAAAGAACTGGAGCAATGACTAGCTGTGGTCATGGTCCTTTAGAGTCACTCAGCATCTGAGTGAGAATAATATATAAATTACTGAAAACAGCAAATAGAGTGGTTTTTAGGTATTGTGCAGCACAGGCTTGTTTTATACGGCTCTTTTCCTTTCACTTCACAGAGTAAAAATCTATGCTGATATGGAATGACCTAAATTGGATAATGTAAAAAACGGCCTTTGTCCCAAAAATAGTATACATCTATAAATATAATTGGTCATAGTACAGTTCAAGTTAAAAAAAAAAAACATTACATTCTACACCCACAAAAGGTTCATGACTTTTGATTTAGAAAGCATAAGTAGAACATCATCAGGTTGCTGATTAGTCAGGATGGTCAGGACCCTGACTGGGTTTCTTAGTTTCTTAAAACATGTCAAGAAGCAGCAGATAAGACTTAGTATAAGATTAATCATGTTCATCGGGACAAGAGACTATTCAAACTGCCTTATCTTCTGACACCTAGAATATGGCTACAATGAACCCCCATCTCATTTCTCCTTGAACTATGGCCTCTGTATATCCTTCACAGAAACGTAGATTCCTAACAGCAAGCATATTCAATTTTTAAAAGCATATTCAATTTAAAGCTTTTGAAGTTTGGCATAATAAAGGGCAACATCATGACTAAAATATTGGACATGCATTTTTTTTTTTTTTTTACTGTGGAACTGTTCTTTGGAACATTGTAAGATAACCTTATAAATACCAACTGACAATTGTTATTTATGGTTTATATAAGTAAATATTTGATGAAGTAGTAGAACCTAAGATTTAAGATGATTTTTTTTTCTGTTTTTATGCTTCTCCTTATAGATCATTTCCCTACAGGAGCAATTGAAATATTTTCTGAAGAAGTGAGAAGAGTCTTCAACCTGGCTATAAACATTGGTTTTTCCATCAAGACCAGTTACTGTGTGAAACTGTACATGTTTCTCTCCCTTTGATTGCCTTATGTTTAATCAATTATATTTGTTTCTCTGAACATTTTGCTGGTTATAAAATGTTTTTTAATATAATATTCATGTAGAAAGGGATAATATTCTCTTTGTGAATTTGTGAATTACATATATTTCTCCTGACCTATGGTGCCATCAGATGATTCAGCCATGTTTGTCAGAGACAGTTTTTTAGCCTAGAAGACCATACATCTGGTTAGCATGTTTTAGCTTTTCCAAACTCTTCTATTTTAAGCGCTTATTTCCTAAATGTAGAAATTTCCATTTCTATTAAGGGCTAGTTCCTGCAACAGTGAATTTAAGAGTCTACCTCTCAGCAGTTAGTAATAAGTTCTGTCCTCTTTGTTCAAATGATAAGTCTGCTCTCTTTCTCAGGGATGATTTCTTGCTGCTACATATCTTTGTTCTGTTGTGTATTTAGGACTGTGGTTGGTTGTTATTAATTAAGAGCAAAGATGAAAAAATTTTAAGCACTTATACTTATTATGAGATTCCTCATCCTAACCTCCATCAGAAAAGGTTAGGAAAAACCAGATGCCTGTAATGCCTATGAAGACTTCCTTAACAATCCAGGGTTGTTTTGGGGTGGGTTTTTTTAAGGCTGTATTATTAATGGTTTTCTGGTCTGTGTTCTTTAAACAATAAATAAATCCTTCCTTTTAAAATGATTACTGTAAATTTATTATGTGTGTGTGGTTCTGGGGATCAAACCCAAGGCCTTTCACATGCTAGGCAAATGTTCTTTTAGCTTTGAGCTAAATCCCAGCCCCTAGTTTCTTTCAATTTATTAAATTGCCTTCACAATGAGCACTCATATCCAAAAGGAAACAAGAAGACAAGCAATAAACTATGTGTCTTTGTGCATTTTTAGTCCTTTATAACAAAAATACACCAGCTTGGGTAATTTATAAGCAATGTTTACTGTTCACAGTTCTGGAGGCTGGGAAATCCAACATCAAGGTGCCAGTGGATTCAGTATCTGGTGATGTATCTCTGGCTGCATCCTTACATGGAAGAAGGAGCAAACAAGCTCCTTCTATCCCTATTTTCTCTAGCATTTTTAATGGGTGCTGGATTTTATCAAATGCTTTTTCTGCATATATTGAGATAATCATATAATTCTTGTTCTTTATTCTATTTATGTGGTGAATTGCATTTATTAATCTACCTATGTTGAATCAACTTTGCATCCCTTGGATGAAACTACTTGATCATGCTATACACAATCTTCTTGATGTGTTTTTGAACATGGCTTAATATGCTAGGAAATTTCGAAATATATATATTTTGTTTTTCTTTTTTTTCCAGTACTAGATTGAACCAAGTGTGGCTCTGCCACTGAACTACAGCCCCAGCCATTTCCATTTTTTATTTTGAGACATGGTCTATTTAAGTTTCCCAGGTTGACTTTGAACTTGTGGTCTTCCTCCCTCAGCCTCCCTAGTTGCTGGAATTTTACAACTAGTTGGCGGTGTGTGTACCACCATGCCTGGTTTACAACTTGCATTTTTATTGGAAAGCACTGCTGTGGTTTGGTAAAGAAAGAGAAATTGATGGTGTAGAAGAGGTACTAATGCCATAAAATGACATTAAAAACATAACCATCAATTAATTCATAAGGACATTTTAACAACAAAAATATAGCCATATTTTCAGAATAAAGGAGAGACCTTTACTAAATAAATGTAACTTTATGGAAACTCTCTACAGTATCCTGATTTTTATATTGCTTCAGCTGATAAAAAAAGTCTTTGGATTGATGAGGATGAATTTTGGGAACCATTGCCATATAGAGTTCATCTTGTAACATGATAACTCGCTAATTTGGAAGGGGATAGAGCTTAAGGGGCCACCACTCCAGGTAACAGTGTAAGATGGCATCAGTAGGGGTGTCTTTCATTCCACAGTTGTTGGTCCCACCTGGTGGCCTTATGTTTTGCAGTGCTCCATCCTGTCTTCCCACCTCCAAATAAGAGAAAGATGTGGACTATCAGAATCAGAGATAATAACTAGAGGAAACAAGGTAAACAAATACAAATTTATTCTTTTTAAAGTAGAATTCAAGGGAAAGGGAAAAGCACCACAGTAAGTGGCAAAGTTAATTAATTTGCTTCCCACCCTTTCAATCCCAAACTTTTCTACACTTGCATGTCACCCTTGCCACCTCCCCCAAATCTTGTCCAAAATTCTTATCTTATGACCAGTTCTTACATCAAGCAAGCAGCATAGCAGGCTTCAGGCTGGACTTAATACTGCCTTGGGAACAGCAAATACATTCAGCAGGTCACCCTCCAAATATGGCAACTGTAGGAGGAGATAGACACTGGGAGCAGAGCCCTGGCCTTGAGCCTTATCCTCTCCCATGGCCACTGGTGTTAAAATAGTGAGAAGTCAATGAAGTACTTCTTTGTTCCAAGAGCCAGGTTTTGGCAGGAATGCCCAGAGATAGAGCTGCCCAGCTGAGGAGCTAAGTCTCATAGCCCTAGGATAGGGCTTCCAGTTTCTCTCCCAAGACTGTTTGTGTTAAGGCAGCTATTTTCTTGGTTATGTGTCAACTATGTCAAAGGAAATTTGATGGAATTCCTAGCCAGAAATGGTTTCACAGGCCATTACTCTGCTATTGAGAATGTGAGTTTAAAGAGTGCTCTGGCTTGATGTTGGATCTAGAGTCCAGACTCTTTTCAAAGCATCCACCAGGCAGCACAGGTATCCCTTAAAATGAATTTGGTGGATAAACACCTCCCAGGATTGGCCTCTGCCTGGTCTTAGGGTTTCTCATTAATATGGCCTGCCAGCCCAGTTCTTGGAACACCAGAAACTCAAATAGTTCTCTATAAGGAAATATTTTCCAACTTTGGGCATTGAAGGAAATGGGCACTTGAGAGCCTTGATTCCAGCCTTTCCAATATTGAGGGAAGGGCACATATCTATCCTCCTGGGTGGGTTATTTTATAAGGAACTTTATCATGGCTTCATATTCTCCAGACATTCAGCCTTCCCCAATGTTAATCCACTCTGCTCTAGCTGGAAGCAGAGGTACCTTCACAATGGCATTTTGACTTTAATCAAATTCTTTTGAGGACAAATTGCCTGTCAATCCTAACTGTTCCCTGGTACTATTAGATAACTCCAGCAAACACATTCCTTATCACTAATGCTAATCCTACAAATCAGAAGGTTTTCCTCAGATTACCAACCTAGCAACTCCCTTCGCCTCCATTCCAGTTACAGGGCCATAAACTACACAGCACCACACATAATACCTTTAAGAGACATGATACATGACAAATACCTAACAACATACAACACATTTTGGTAAATCCAACCCCAATGTGGATTCACAGTGTCCAAGGATCCATTTACCTCACTAGAGGCAAACTGTCCACATATGCTGCAGTGACTGTCACTGGACCCTTGAGCAGTATACTCACCTCAGGTATTACAGGTAAACATAAGACCGCAAAGTGTCCATGACCCCCTTACTGAAGATTCAACTCCTGACCCGCTGCTCCGGTCCACCTACAGCACAAATCCTACATAACAAGATCTACATCTTTTTTACCATACCTGGCCCACTGCAATTACCACAGGCAGCCCAAGAGCTCTCAGGTGGAATGGGGGTTAGAGAAAAGACTTTACTGATAATAGATTTTTCCATATTATCTGCCCTCCTAAGACAGGTATATGCCTCAAAGTTCCTGAGCCCTCTAACCACAACAAATTTCTTCTATCCCATTCCTACCCACAATCAAGCCCCCTACAAAGTTACCCCACTCTGAATGATGTCCAGGCTGTGTTTGATATTAGCCTACAATCTGCTTATCATAAAGCCAGATACCCAGTTCTCCTGTCCAGAGGCCTCATGAACACTGAGGCAGATGTCATGATAAAACGTCTAACACCCTGAACCTGTGGCTTAGTGGGGTAGGAGGCAATCTTTGGCTTCTGGACCCAAGCCATTTCCCTGCATCCCCTGGAGCAGGTCAGTCTAGGTTCCCAGCAATTCTATCCACTGACCACTGCTTGATTACAGCACAAGAGTCCAAACATCTCACTCCCTCCTGATCTTGATGGTTATCATTTCTTTCTTTAAGACCCTGAACTGGACCTTAGGAATTGAAAGTGGCCAGAGGATGTATTCTGTGTTTTAGCCATGTAAAAGATAATAAAGACTTTCCTGTTCCTTCTTATCTTCAGGAGTGGGTAGAGCTTAGATCCACTCTGTTTTGGCACCTGAACCACTGTTTAGGGGGTCCAGGAAAATTCCTCCAAGGCTCAGGTCTCCAAGGAACAAGATTTGGAATGAGAGAAGAGAACATATTGATGCTTCCTGTTAGATCCCTCTGTGGCCACAGACTTCTGTTGCTTTGGTCTGGAGGGCAGCTCACCCCAAACATCAATGGTCAGAGATATCCTAGGAAAGCAGCCAGGATGCACTTCTATCTTTCCAACCAGAGGCTGAGGCTAACAAAGAGCAAGGCAGAACATTAATACTTCAAGAGGTATTAGAGTTTAATGTGTGAGTGAGGCCAGGAGAGCACTGATGTACAGTAGATATGTAGAGTATATATGTGTGTATATAAACTCAGGCAAATTAAGTTGACTGCAGGACTGGGGAAAATTTCCTCTTGGTAGAAAGCAGCCTAAGTGGGTTCTGACTCTGTTCAAAGTTCCCAAGCCCACTCTTCCCACCCCCACTATATACCCTGAACAGTTTATGAATAAAGAGGCCACGGTATATGTTGTCTAGGAAGAGTTAGTTCAGTTTGAGAATTGGGTTCACCTTCAGAGTTAGAAGAAACAGTTTTATGCACAGGAAGGCTCCACTGTTGTCTAGGGGGAAAGTGACCAGCTTCCTGATTTGTGGCCAGTGGCTCTTAGGAAAGGACCACTATTAAGGATGGCTAGTTACAATCGCCTTATGATTGGCTGGGGGTAACCAGCCACCTCACCTGATTCAGCCTAAGAGACAGAAGGGTCATAGCCTAGAAGGGTGTAAGGCAGTCATACTCCACCAGGCTAAAGGATGGCTTCCCCTTCCTCACCCAAGGAGAGCAAGCTGCCACTCCTCCTCCAGATCTCTAAGGAAAGAGTCAAAAGAGCAAAGGGTGGCTTCAGTGGGGTCTCCAGAGCATCTCAGTGGCTCTCTTAGAATGCTGAAACCTTCAGGAAAGAGGAGGATTGAGGGGGGAGGCAAGAATCTAAACCTGAAAGAATTTCTTTAATATTCCCAAATGTAAAGTAGAAGTAGGAACCAGAATGAACTGTTTCCTCCTTGAAGAAATTCTGCTAGGGACAGTGGCATAAGGAACTGTAGTTATTCAAGGAAGAAACAACATATAGGTAGAATCTGAAGGGCTAGAGCTATGTCCTAAACCTGAAAAAATAGGACACATATTGCCCAGAGTTCTTTAGGAACACTTTGGAGGTGGGAGGAGGTTCAGCAATACCCTTTTGCCTCCCTGAATTGGGCCAGAGAGTAGGGTTAATCCCTGTGGATTCCTAATGCTGGTACCCTGGGATCATTCGGCTTCTCTCTCTATATAATTCCATGGAGAAGACAAAGGGGCCAATGGGCACTACTTGGCTCTGCAAAGCAGCTTCTCTTTCCCATCTGAATGGCCAAGTGCCATTTGCCTGTGCTGCAACAAAAGGGTAGCATAAGGGACTGGTCTTGCACTTCAGAATTAAAGGGCATATTTCTAGAGTTAGAGGAATCAGGCCTCCTCTTTACCTGGCCCCTCCCCCCACCACACATACCTCACATACCACCAGCCTTGCTGCTGCCCAGAGCCCAAATAACTGCTTGAGGAATGTGGGGCCAGTGGGGACTGGAAAGGTTGGATGAAGGCTGAGGGAAGATATTGACCAGAATCAGGAAGAATTATGGACTATAGAATGGGGATCTGGCCCCATCAAGAGGCCAGCAGGGTGCTGGCAGTCACATCAGAGCTTCGCACACTGGGGAAGGCATGGCGGAGCTTCTCCATGATGTCCTCCAAGCACAGGCTGACATCTTGACTCTTTGACCCCACATCATCTGAGTTGGAAAAGAGAGATTTGTGAAGATAATGTTAAACTCTCTTATATGAGGTCAAGTAGCCAAAGTAGGATGCAGCTAGGTAGTGGGCAGACCCAGAACATTTACATCTTCCTGTTACTATGACTATTATGCAGGATGCACTCAATAGAAGAAACATATGAGTGAATTATCCCTCACTCTAAGATTGAAGGCATGAGGAAAAACCAGTTTTATCCTTAGCAGAACCTCAGGCAGGAAATCTGGGGCAGAACAAAGCCATGGAGAAAGGGGCTGAGAGGGGTTAGGGAACTCACCTACAGCCTCAGTATCTGGAGTTGTTTGTCCCTTCTCTGGGGGGTGACTGCTTTCTGACTGCTGTGGAGATGAAGCTAGAGACAAATCTGCAGAGCCATTGCCTTCTGATTCTGTGGGTGGCTAGTAAGATGTAAAGCATAATTTGAGTTTTGCTTTCCTAACCTTACTTTGACAGACTCCTGAGCTTATAAAAGACCTTAGAAATGCATGATCATCCCTTGTCCCTTTGAATTTTAGAAGCTTTTGGCAGTGCACAGAAACAATGGCTTCCCCTTTTAGGAAACTTCTTAATATATTCAATTACCAATTAACTTGTTCCTTCAGCAACATGTATCAAAGGCTACCAATTCTTATAAGGATGGCAATGCATCTAAAGCTATCTTGCTGTCATTTTGTCTATAATCAAGCTATTTAAAACCCATTTTTTCTGGACATGTAGAGTTGTACAGCTGATATTTGGTTTATGACATAACAGCATATGTTATAAACCTCCAGGAATTCATTTAGAGACTGTCTCTTGAAGGATCTGGAAAAAGGGCAGGGAGTACTATTCCCTGGTAGATATGACAATAATAAGTAACATTTGTGAACAGTGTACCATATTCCTGGCATCATGCTAAATACTGTAAATTCATTATCTCATTTTATGTTGACCACAATTCTATGATGTTGGTGTTATTATTCTCTCTATGATGGAACTTGGGCTTAATGAGGTTAAGTAACTTTCCTTATATCCCATAGTCACTAACTGGCAGAGTCATACTCAAACTTAGGGCTGTCTGACTCCAGAGCCATACTCCCAGAAATGAAAGGAGCAAAAATTAGCAAGAGACTCCTTTATTGTAAATATCATCTTTTGCTAAACATATCCATCCAAACCTGCTTCTTTCTAGCAAATACCATACATGTAAAATCAACTTTTGGGATGACTTTGAAGGTTTTCCATTACTGGGGATTGAACCCAGGGGTGCTCTACCACTGAGCAATATCCACAGCCCTTTTTTTAAAAAAAATGAGACAGGGTCTTACTTAGTTTCTACACTTGATCTTAGCCAAAAGGCCGAGAAGCGATAGTTTCTAAGACTGGCCTTGAACTTGTGATTCTCCTACCCTGGTTGCTGGGACTATCAGTGTGTGCCATTGTACCAGGCAGAAATTCATTGTTTCAGTACCAGATTACAATGGATTGTGAAGAAGTGAGTCCTCAAAAGTCTTCCCTCTGCCCCTTGAGAATTACACACAAAGGTGGTATGGAAGAGGGGTAAAAGTGAATGGGCTAAGGATGTGCCCATACCATTCCCTTCCTTCCCTCATCTTCTCCAATTGCCAGCCCAAGAATTCTCTTCAGGAAGTTACCTGATAGCCACAGCCAAAAAGCTCTTTCTTCCTCCTCTTTGATGCACCTCCAACTCCCCAAACTTTCCCCCTATGCTCAGGTATTGCCTTCATTCTTCTTCTGTCTGTAGTCTCACCTGCAGGAGCAGTTCCCTCAAGCGTTGCAGCTGGGACTCTAGTTGCTTGTTGTGGTCTTCAAGGATCTGCATGCGCGTCTCCAGGCGGCTCTTGTGCTGCCTGAGAATCCTGGCTTCAGCAAGAAGCTCCTCATTGCAGTGGTCCTGTGCTGCCTCAGTGGAGCCCTCAGCTAGGTTGGGTGCCTCAGTCGCCTCCTCATGCTGCCACTTCAAGCGCCTCAGCTCTCCTTGGAGAATCCTGCCAAAGATAAAGCCAAGATCTATGGCTCTAAGAGAGTACTTTCCAGATCCAAGATGTCCCTTCATATACCAGTGAAAGTAATCCCCATGCTCTCCCATCCCACTTTCCCAGTCATATTCTTGTTTGAACTACTTCCTCTCCAGCATGTATGCCATTTACTCTGACATTCTGAGACTTTAGAGCAGAAGGAGCTGACATTTAACATAAGAAATATCTCAGGGCTTTGATGTACTGCTTTGGGGATTAATTCTGACCTTAAAAACAGACAGAAATATGGTCTACAAATAAAAGAGGCATTAGGGCCACTGACTCACCTTCTCTGTTTTTATATTCCAGGAAAAGATATAAACAAGAGCTCTCCCATATTGCCTCTTTTCTCCTTAGCCCTCCTGTGTGGCCCACTTTGAATGGCCATGCTAGGTATCAAGAAAACAGATTCCAAAGATACAGCTTACTTTGGGGGACATTACTTTTTTTTTTTTGCAACAGAACAGAATCATTATCTGCCTAGTATTTCCCAAGGCCTGCCCTCTGATACTCTAATGCAGTATTTCTCAAACTTCCTAGTGAGAAACAAGGGTTTTTTTCCTACTCCATTGTGGAATGATATGTGATCCTAACACACATGACTAGTCCATGTTTCACACCACTTGAAATCCGCCATACAAGTTCAGCAACACTCAAACTAGCCTCAATGAGATGGGTCCACTAATGATGTGTTTGTATGTCATGGCAATGTCCAATTGCTAGAAAAGTTTCTAAAAGCTTACTCTTTATGTATTTGTATTTTCTGGACTGGTGACAAACACTTTGCAGATTGGCTCTTGTCTGCATTCTACACTCTGAGGAGCAGGGTTCCGAAGACTTGCCACTCCAAGTGTGGTCTGTAGACCAGTGGTATGGGTATCCCTTTGGAAGGTGGTTAGAAATATAGAAATTCAGGCCCTACCCAAACCTGTGAATCAGAATTTACATTTTACCAGGCTCCCCAAGTGACTCATGTGCATATTAATGTTTGACAAATGCTACTCTAAGAGTTATTACAGATTCTACTTCTTTCAAAGTGCCTTGGACCTTCCTAAGACTCCTGCTACCATCCCTACTTTATGGAGATTAATGCCATCCCTATAATCTTTACTTTCTCTCTTCAAGCCTTCAAGTGATCCATAGTGTCATCATGCCCTGAAATATTTTCACTAGGTGATAAATAATTCTTTCTACTTCTGGCATGGGAAGTTCTTTGAAAGCAGGGACATGTCATAGTCTTATCTGTATTTTTCTGTATTTTCTATATATGCATCTAGTAGGTACATGGAAAACTTGGGGTTAAATTAAAAGAATTCAAATAATTACTGTAAGTGCTAGTGTTTATTGAACAGATACAGTAAACCAGGCCCTGGGCTAACCCATTATATGCCTGATCTCACTTGGTCTTCATAAATGACCCTAGGAGGTCACTTTCTAGACAAGGAAATGGAGCACCACAGAATATAAGTAACTTCTTCATGATCATACAACTAAAATGTGGAAGTGTCAGGTCTTAAACCCAAGCCATCTGCTTCTGAAACCCACACAAAATTGTGCCATGACCACATACACACCGGTTCTCATCTTCTAAATGGGCTAGGATCTTCTCTAGCTCCCCCTTGCTTTCTGTAGCCATGCTGCATGGAGCCTGCTGTCCGAAGGCTAGCTCCCGGTCTGTGATGGGGCTGGAATGCCTCAGCAGGTACTGGTCCTCATCTCTGCATTGGGTATTAGGAAAGGAAAACAGGTGGCCAGCTTTAAATAGAGAAACAACTCAGGGTAAGAGTTCTAAGCACTCTGTTCAGGTCCCTGGTGATACATGCTGGAATATTCACTGTTATGTCACATAGAGAGGGAAAGGCTAAATACTGAAGCTTTGGAGGGATAGAAGTTTTCAAAGGTGGCAGCAGATATGGTTAGGGGTACTGGGAATGAATATTTTCAGGCTTCTAGGGCTTCTAGGTTCTCCTTAAAGATCCCTAAGATATAATGAGCAAATCATTTCCTTTTCTGTGCTGTTTTCCCTGTACCCCACTTGGCTTCCTCACCTCCCAGAGGGATTTAAGTCTCAGTTAGGACCATATTGGTCTATGTAGCTGACTGCTCCTAGGCTATCTGAGCAGACCAGGAACTTCCCCAGAGATGTAGGACCTCTTCCCTGGACTATAGCAAAAGGGAATGCCTTTGGCTATCCTTTAGTCAAATCCCTGATGCTTCCCAGGATTAGAGTAACACTAGATGGGGCTTTGGTATCTTGAGAACAAGAGAATAGCTCCTTTCTGCAGCTTTAGATGAGGGCATATATTCTTCTTTCCCAAAGTTGGGCATAGAAGAACAGAATTTCACAACAGGAAGGGATTTGGGCAGATGGCTCATTCAGTGGATGGAAGGAAGACTGCTTCTCTTTATAAACACTGTGCCAGGAAGCAGCCTTCCATTTTTAGGGAGTCAAGTACCCTAACCATCACACTCCTGAGGCTATACCCTCCTGGATAGTGTCAGAAGGATCCCAAGGAGAGCTATTTCTGGAAAACAAGCATCTGTGGAAACTCACATGCTGTCATCTGGGGATAGGCTGTCATTAAAGAAGGAGCAATTTTGACTTTCCATTTCAGCAAGTCTGGGAAGAAAGAACAGAGACAGTAGAGAAAACAGGATGTAGGGGCCTGCTTTCATCTCAAGCACTCTAATCCCATAATAGGATCACTGGTATTGGGAGCTGCTCCAACTACCCCTAAGTGTTGGGACTTGCTGGTTGCTGCACATCCCACTGTGTATATCCCCTGGCCCTGATTCAATTCTCATTGTCCCAACTGAAAACCCTTCCCCATTAGACTTCCTACAATCCCCCCACCAAAACCTTGTACCTGCTAGCAAAATGCTCAATGCGAGAGTGTGTGTCAGCGTGTGGCAACATTGGGGAAGAAGCCGGCCTGAAAGAAAGCAACAAAGATTCAGAGGACCAAAGATTGGACAGCTACATCACCTGTTTCCTCAATGCCTCCTCCCATTCTACCCCTTACATTGTGGAGATGGGCAAGAGTGATGGGAACAGGATACAGAATCTGGATTCTAGCCTATATCTCAGGCCCAAGTCTAGGTCAGGCCCAAGCAGAACTGCCCTGTCACTGGTGGAATTCTCCCTAGAATGTTCTTCTAGCCCACCTGGGACTAGCTCCTTCACAGCACAAACACAAGGTCAGTGAGACTGCCCACAGTCCCTGCTCCATCACTGGTACTCACGTCTCATTGCAATCTGCCTCCAGCACTGATTGCACAGGCAGATAACCTCGCTGAGGGTGTTTGCTGAAATAATGTTTTGAGCGGAATTTGTTCTTTAAGGTTGTGGCAAAATCTCTCATGTTCTCGCTGGATGTTGTCTGGTGGGAGACAGGACAGAGAGACTCATTCTAGTGGCTTTTGCTAATCCCCTAGAGCAAAAGTAATTGGAATTCCACTCCTGTTAATACCTACCACACCCTGCTCCTAGCTAAAGTTATAGAAAGATACACGCCAAACTATGAATACTGGTTGTCTCTGAGAATTTATATTGGAGGAGTGGAGGCCAGGTAAATACAGGTATACTTTCATTTTATATTTTAAATGCTTCTATCTGTATAATTCAAATATTTTTACAATGAGCATATTTTGTTAATTTGAAAATATCTTTTCAAATAAATTCTGAGAATGTAGAGAATGATCAAGAGGATTATCAGCTTATCCTCTCCAGCCAGTTTTCTGTATTTGACTTTTTATAATGTTTTCTTCAAAATGATAATAAATAAAAAGTAAAGGGAATGGTCCCTGCTCCCACCTGGTTACACATGTCTCTGTGCAACAGAATTTGAAGAAAAGATGACAGTTTGGAAATATGGATTATAGGGAAATAGGTTGAAATATGGGGAGATGGGATGGGTGAAGGAGCAGTGAGAAGGGAATTTGGGATATACTTGGGGCTCTGGAATATGTGGGGGAGCAGAGTCGTCTCAGGAAGTTACACAGGGAGCTATGGGTCTTGAACAAATCACAGGAGCAGTTATGGCTGGAGTTCAGAAATGCTAACCAATCTGGGCTCAGATGACTGTGAAGGGCACAGTTGCCAGTGAAGATCAAGTGGAATTTATGGCATAAGGTAAAGAACATATCATTTTCCTTCCTGAGGAACTGAGTAATTAATTTGAGCACAAACTCTGGTATTGACTAGAAGAGATAGAATCAATGACAAAGTAGCAAGGAAAGACGTTGTGGTCTACTGTAGAAGCAATGAAGGAAGCTAGCCAGGAAAAACTCAAGTGGGCAGGGTAACATGAGTCATCTGCAACTGTCTTTTTTACTCTATTTCTTTCCTGAGCCTTTTCTCTGCAGTAAAATAATGGGTGTTCTTTAAATGGCTGAGGGTGTCATGGGCCAACTGTGGCTCTAGTGAGGGAAAAGCTCCAATGGAAAAATAGAGGTCTGAATCCCCTAAACTGGTGAATTACTGAGACATTTTGGGGAATGCTCCCCACAGGACAGCAGAACAGAGTGAGTCAACTCTGGGAAAAATGGATCAAAGCCTAGAACCTGAGAGCTGCCTACCCTTCCCACCTAGCCCAGAGCCTCCATACCGGTGTATAATATTCCATGATGGGGTAGTGCAGCTTGTTGCCTTTGCTGGCCCTGCCAGTCAAGAAGCAGGTCTGGCAGATATCCACATTAAATTGTTTCAGACTCCGGTACCTTGGGGAAAGGAGACATTGTAGGAAAGATAATCCAGTGTGCCACAGTGACTTCACCCATTCCCCTGACATCTAAATATACACATGTGTTAGAAGGGGATGGGACATGGAGTCATAACATGCTCAACCTCATAGACATAGCAGTGGCTGAATCCTCAACAGATGGGGAGCCTTATTTTAAAGATTATAACTCTTCATGATATCATAAGCCCATATTACCATGAAGTATGAGAAAGAACATTGTTTTACCACCTTATTTTTTAAAAAGTAGGTGAGGAGGGGAATAGTGGTAAAGATCTCATTGGAGCAAATAGCTTTCTAAACAAGGGTAGCCCCAAAGCATCCAGGATCCCAGGTACCACCACTTACCTTGGAGTAGTTACACATTTAATATAAAGGCAGCTTACTATCCTAGCCTTGGTTAAGCTGGCTATAAGATATTTCCAAAGTTTATTTATAATAATAACTCTATTATTACATAATATAGAATAGCCTTTTAGATCTACTTCTAAAGCCTGGCTAAAACACCCAGATTTACTAGTATAGAAGAATGAAATGCTGAGACTTAAAGGAATCAGCTGAATCAATATCTAGTCCTAGATCTACCATCAACTAGCTGTGTGAACTTGGGCAAGTCACATTCCACTTCTATTTCTTATTTGCTCATCTTATAAAAAGTAGGGTATTTGTCAGGTGTGGTAGCACACACCTATATTCCCAGTGGCTTGGAAGGCTGAGGCAGGAGGGTTGCAACTAAGCAAGGCACTAAGCAACTTAGTGAAACCCTGTCTCAAAAAATAAATAAGGGCTGTGGATGTGGTTCACTGCTTAAGCACCCCTGAGTTCAATCCCTGGTACAAAAGAAAAATATCGGGGTATTTTTAGGGACAGTAGTATGAATTAAAAAGTTGAATATTTTATGAAGAAGGCCAAATTCAAGACAATGGTTACCTTTGTGGAAGAATGAGAGGAGAATGTAATCAGGGAGACTTAAGATGAATTATAATAATGTTTTATTCCTTAAGTTTGATTATGGGCATATACTGTAGTGCGCTAGCGAGAGTTCCTTATTAGCTCACAAGAACTGGCTGTTCAATTTCAAGGGTTTTCTAAGCCATTACCTTATAATGAAATTATAAATGCTCACAATTAAATGATACTGAAAACAAAGGTAATAAATATTCAAATCTCATCACTTCTTAATAAGTTTATTATGATCTATGCTCTTGTGATTATTTACAACTATTGTACTGGTTAAGTATTTTTTATCTGAAATGCATGAGACTAGAAGTGTTTCAGATTTCAATTCTTCTGATTTTGAAATATTTACACATGCTTTTCTGATTAAGCATCCCTACTCTAGAAATCCACAATGTTCTAAAATAGATTTGGGAGCATTTCAGATTTTTGGATTGGGGATATTCATCTTGCATCTGCCTGGTTGAAATACTATAAATGCTATGCATCTCTTCCTGATTCTGCTCAGGAACCTCCTGTAAGTAACCTGACATAGGCCAGAGTGGGGATATTTATACCACAGAATTTAGCAAATATTACAAATCAGGTTTCCTTTTTTTTTTTTACTTTCTGGGGAGCTGATTGTGAAATGTTTGTTGGCACACCATTTGGTACATAGGAATTCTTACAGTATGTGCTATACATTTTTGTAGGTTTTTAATACTTCATATATAAAAAATAAGCCAAAACTAAAATAGTTCATAATTTTCAATTTTTAAAAAGTTAAACATTTTGCAATAGAAAGAATTACAACAATATATAATCATACACAATAGTTTAGCTATAACTATGCAATAATTATATAATGTGTTATCTTGTAATATCTGATTTATATTTCCTATGACATATTTATGATGATTATCATCCCAGCAGGTATTGTTTCTCCTACCTGAACCCTTTGATGGGGCACTGTCTACAGATAGAGCACTTGGTCTGATGCTTTACTTGCTCAGCAATGGTGACCCGATGCAAGACAGCCAGCCACACCATGGACTGGGGCTCCAAGTTGACCCATTCCAGGAACTGGGAAGCTTCAATGACTGGCTTCCCAGTGCTCTGGGGAAATAACAAGTCCAATGGATATGATTGAGGCCCAACATATCTTGTCCTTAAGAGTGGCAGCCCTCCAAGAAACAGGGGAACCAGCAGGGTCTGGGTTGGCCTATTCTTCAGAGGTTTCCACATGTTACCCTGTCTTAATGGAGCTAGCACACTCCCCAACAGTACTGGAACCCTAGACCTAGAATATCCTCTGTTCTGTTGTCCCATCCCAACAAACTCTCTTACATCTGAATATTTCATGTTAAAAGCTAGTTTTTGGTCCTCCTTCAGTTCCTCCCACCCTTTCTTCCATGTTGCTTCCCTCCATCCTGCCCTTCACAGTTCCATACTCACAAAACGGAAGCAACTACGGACACTGGGCTCCACATTGCTGCCCCCAAATGCTGCCACTTCACCCAGCTGACGGGGCACCTGAATGGCCTCATGAAGCAGGACACCGAGGTGGCGCTGGTCACACTGGCTGCCTGAATTGGCCACTTGGCTGAAGAGGTCTGCTGGGCCCACCATGAAGAATAGCCAACCCCAATGCAGGAATGGCCAGAGAATGATATAAGGAGAAAAATCAGAAAATGAAGACAGGGAGAGAATATATTGATGAAGCTAATGATTTTTGAAACCATAATACATAGAGATTTATCCCTTAGCTTCTAGAAGCCTAGGAGTTCTAAAAAGAGCATTCTCTGAGTTCAGAGAGCAAAAGAAAGACAGACACAAATGGAAATCATCAGGAAGAGAGGTAGAAAGAAAAGAGACAAAGAAGGACAGAAAGCAAGCTGTGTGTAAGAGTAGTGCCAGACACAATGACGCCATTGAGAAAACAGATTCCTTAAGAAGCAGTATGAGAGCTCAGGCTCAGGGGCATTTACACATGCATCACAGTTGGGCTTCCATACCCTATCCTATTCATGTAGTTTAATACTGCAGTAATATCTCAATAGTCCACACAAATGGAAGGAAGCAATGGCATGGATAAATCAAAAAGAGGTGCTAATTCAAAACATCCCATCATCTAAAAATGACCTCTACGTGCTGTGCAATAAACTAGAGTACTTATATTTGAGTATGGACTGTATTGGCACTTCTAGAACCTCCTCCATCTCAGGCCAATCTTAGCAAACCTCTTCCAGAGGTTATTGTCTGTCTGCTTCATACCTCGCCAAAGGTCTAGAAAATACACAAAAGCAGAAGGCAAAAGGCCTGGGTTTGAGTTCTGGATCCATTGCTCACTAGCTTCAGAATCTTGGAAAAGTCATAAACCTCTCTATGCTACAGTTTCATTACTTGAAAATTGAGGACAAATAATTACTGTACATCATCTCATCTCAGAGGAATGTTGGATAAAATAAATAATAGAGCCATAAACATACTTGGAAAAGTCCCCTTCCCTTTGGAAAGTACATGCTTTCTATGTACGTCTATCTCCTTCTCCAGACTGTAAACCCCTTGAAGCAAGGACCATATTTAATTTGACCTAGCATTCACCCCATTTAGCAGAGAGCTCTATACACATTAGGATTTAACAGCTGCCGCTGTGCTGCAGAAAAGTTCAAAATGCTGAATTACAAGTTTGAGGATGGAGGGGAAAACAAAGATACCATAAACCATAAAGTTTAAAAACTACAGAAGTACATACTGTTCATCTCCTAGAGAATGTTGATTATTGCAACCTGTCTATGTAATGACATGAGATATATCTAGGAGAATGTGTGACACACCTTCAGCTTCAGACTAGAACTAAAAGTCAGGGCCCTAGAAACCCCATGATATCAACATGGATTCTAACTAAGTACTTACATCAGATCAGAAGAAACTAAACCACTCAGAATGACACTGGGAATAATAACAAGCCTTAGGGTTAATTTTGCCTTTGGGTGCCATGCATACTTGGCAATCCTGGACCAAGAACCATCACAAAGTAGGTCAAGCAGCCCTCTGCTGAGTCACAAGACCTACCTTCTGTTTATCTTAGACCTTTACTCCTCCCTGAAACACCTCTCCCTCCACCCAAGACCACTCCAGACTTTGGAGTTGTACTCACACTGAAGCTTTTCTTTCACTTCTGTGCCACACAGGCATGCAATGCCAGTCTTAAAGGACAATGCCCGCATCTTTCCACTGCGACCACTAGGTTTAAAAGAAGAGACTAAGAACATGAATATATGTGAAGTGTTAACATCTGGGCAGTCATTGTCCTCACTGAGTTGACTCCAGCAGAGCTCTGACCAAACATGCCCCAAACTGAGGTGGGTCCAAGTCCACCATGGGAGCAACCCCTTCCCACCATATCCACTGAAGATGTCCCACTGAATTTATCCTGGAAGTTGACAGGACTGAAATTGCTTACCTATCAAAAACATTGAGGAGCCAGTTGAGGCTCATGTCTACACATAGTGGCACATTGACCAGGATGCCTCTTTCCTCCTCTAGCCGTTCATATAAGGCAGTCAGGCAGTGAATGACCTCTACCACATCCATCACATGATCACTGGCCTGTAGATCATGCTCATTGAAGATCTCCAGGGCTGTAGTTAGAGTTACCAGATCCACTGGAAAAGAGAGGAGAAAGGGAAACTATATAGCCAAAAGTAGGACACCAAGTATTGAACTAGGAGATAAAGTCACTGGCATCCCCACATTTGACTCAATCTCCAGACTGTGTGCTTATATCATGTGCAAGGATAATATAAGCTTCTCCTTTACTAAAGACCCTTATCCCAAGAAGGGGGAGCAGCAAAAGATCCCCTAAATTAATCAAACATATTTATATACTCATATTTTCTTTGACACCAGTTTCAAGAAGATGATGAGGCATGAATAAATTCATCTCCTATGTTGTATTGGTGCCTAAGAGATCATATTTTGTTTTAAGTTTCTCTGTCTTTACATAGGTTTCAACTGTAAGTAGGTCTATACATGAACCTTGTTCTGAAAACCTAGATAATATTGAGGAAGGCTTGGGTATGGCTGGGTAAACATGACACACATCAAAAAAAGAAAAAGAAAAAAAAAAGAAAGAAAAAAAACATGACACACATCAGGAGTACATTTTAATGACTTCCAAGGCTGAATGAGCCTACCCAGATGTGCCTAGGCCAGGAAACTTAAAAGAACAGTTATTGCTATATCCAATAACCCCAAGATAGCAAACCATGATCTGGATACTTCTGGACAGGAACTAATTGCTTGATTATCCTTGTTGGGCAGGGGGAAAGGGACAAAGAATTGGACAGCTATAGGGTTAATTTGGAAACAAGTCTAGGGCTCGGAATGAGTATAAGAACCCTAGAAAGAGCATGTGTCTACAGACAAAATATGCAAGCCTTTGGAGAGTTCCCACCAAACTAATCAACAACAATCCTGGCCAAGATAGGATGAAGGTAGGAAATAGCAGACAGATGAGGAACAGGACAATGAAGGTCAAAGCCTTAGGGAAATGTGACAGGAGACATACGGCGCAGGGCCTTCTGGACTCTGCGGAGCTTCATGGCAGTGCGATAAGCTGAGAACTTAATGTTGTTCAGATCAGCTGCAAAAAATGGAAAGAGACTCACTCAGATCAGGAGAATGCAAATTAAAACCCCAACAAGATACCATGTTATTCCCACCAGGTTGGGAAAAAATAGAAGTCTGACAACAGCAAGTGTCAACGAAAATATGTATGAATGAAAACTGCTAGTAAAAGTGTGAATTTATATAATCATCTTGAAAAACAACTCAGGCATTGCCTAGAAAAATGGAATGCTCATGTATCCTACGACATAACCAGGTATATATCCCACAGCAGTATTTATAAACATTTTTTGACCAAGATTCATAGTAAGAAATTCATTTTACATCATGACCTAATATGCAAACACTCTTTTGTGCATGTTTAAATGACTTAAACATGTCAGAAAACAACACCTAACATATTCATTAAATATATATGTTTTTGTATATCAATCATACTTCAATAAAGTGTTTTTTAAAAAGAATAGAAGGGAACCTCAGTCAAAAAGCAGGTGGAACAGAAGTGAGTGCTTTGTTCTTTCTCCAAAAGCATTCCTTTCTTTCCCCTCTGCACCTTCCTCAACTGGAAGCTGTACATTTCTGACCAGCTATTCTATCATTACATTAGGGAATTATGCCCATAGATGTGAGGTCTAATCTGACTTTTTAATAATGTAAAAACAAAATTACTATCAAATACAACACTTACTAAGGATTTGTTACATATTGACATTTCTTAGTCTATTTCAGTTTTAAATGCTTGTTACAACACACCAAAATGGTGTTATAATCTATAGACTGAAAATCATGCCTTAGAGAAATGCTTGCACACAAGTACGAGAAGACATATATAAGAAATCCTCAGCAGCATTGTTCTTCTTAGCTCCAAAGTAGAAACCCACATGTTCATCAACAGTAGAATGGATAAAGAAACTACTATATACAATGGAACACACTAGAGCAGTGAAAATGAATGAACGGTATTCACCTCATCAACATGGATAAGATTTGCAACATATTGATGAGTCTCTCTTCCTAGTCAAAGATACGGCACAAAAAAGTCACACTCATTGCAGCTTGGTCAGTGTCTTTCAAAGCAGATTAGACCTCACATCTACGGTCATAATTCCCTAATGTAATGATAGAATAGTTGGTCAGAAATGTACAGCCTCCAGTTGAGGAAGGTGCAGAGGGGAAAGAAAGGAATGCTTTTGGAGAAAGAAAAAAGCACTCACTTCTGTTCCACTTGCTTATTGACTGAGGTTCCCTTCTATTTTTTTAAAAAAAAAACTTTATTCAAGTATGATTGATATACAAAAAACATATATATTTAATGAATATGAAACATCATGAGTTTGGAGATAAGTATAAACTGTGAAATCATCACCACCGTCTATGTCTCAAACCCATCTATCACCTCCAGAAGTTTCCTCCTGCCTCCTTACTTATTATTATTATTAGTAGTGGTCATTGTTGTTGTCATAGTAGTAGTAGTAGTATGTGTGGGATAAGAACATAATATCTACCCTCTTAGCAAAAATTTTAAGTATGAAAACAGTATTATTAATTATAGGTACTATGCTGTAGAGCTCTAGGACTTATTCATCTTATATAATTAAAACTTTGCAGCCTTTGACCAATATCTCATTTCTTCCTCCACCAGGCCCTGAAACCTATCATTCTACTCTCTCATTCTATGAGTTTAGATTCCTTACATAAGTGAAATCATGTGATATTTGTCTTTCTGTGCCTAGCTTATTTCACAAATGGCAGGATTTCTTTCTAAGGCTCAACAGTATTCCATTGTGTGTAGATATAATATTTTCTCCATCCATTCATCCATTGATGTACATTGCAGGACAAAGGGAGCTGTATAGATCCCCACCCTATACAAGTACCCCACATTCTTACCTAATGTTTGGTATAACTCAGTCATCTTGGGATGGTCCCAGCATGTGGTCTGAGCCTGGTGGCTATAAACAAAAGCATTAATAGTGCCATCATCCACCCCCCCCCCACACACACACAACACACACAGTGATATACTCAGTGATAGGTTGGATGTAAAAAGCTGCAATAGAATCCTGAAGGTCCCAAAGCACAAGGGTTCACCTTTACTCGGGTAGAATCTTGAGTTCTTGAGATGAGTAGGAGGAAAAACTGGAGTAGATGGAGGAATCCCCACAAACAAGGAATGACGGGGATAGGTAGGACAACCAAGGAAGTGGGTGGGCAGTTGACCGACCAGTTCTGATTCTGATGATCACTCACTTGATGTAGTAGGGAACTTTATTGGGTGAAATTGCTCTTTCCCAGGGAACCTGGACAGAGGCTGGTAAAGGAAAAGAGAAAGAAAGCTGGCTACTGGCCACTAATGGTCTTCAGGCCTCCCAGTCTCCTGGCCATTTCCCTGCTCTATCCTCCCCCAAAAGGCAGTCAAGCCCCAAAGGAGATGTCTCAATTTCACTGCCAGTTCTTAATAACCCATGAGGGTGGGCAAACACTTCTAAAGAATACATTGCTCTCCCTGATATTGGGAAAGGGGAAAAAGTTGTCATTGATGCCCTAATACATCAGAAATGTGGCTAGGACACAAACAGGAATACATGATGTTGCCTATCCTGACATTCTTCTCCCTGAACAGACTGCCATTTCTACTCATTTAGCTGCAGGCAGCTGGATTGATCCTGTGGATATGAAGTGGATCCTACTTTCCTCATGGGATTTAAAGCCCTTCCACAAGAGGCCAAGTTTCTTATCCTATGGGACAGAGGGAAACAGTACTGCCCATTTCTCTCCTTCTTCCCCCTACCCTACCCACCTCTTATGAGGAACTCTGGAAACTCATGCCTCTATCATCCCTGTGTCTTTATCTACCAGATCTCCTAGGAGAGACTCAGCAAGTCTGACTGACCTATTCATGACAGTTTCCCTGAGTACAAGAATCCTCTGTGGGTGTAGATGCATGTCACTGATTATAACAGTAACAAACCTGATCATGGTTAATGATTATGGTTCTCCTACTATGTGCCAGGTTAGATGTGCTCATACTTTGTATGCATATCTAATCTTCCTTTCTGTATATCCACTGCTACCCACCTGGTCTGGGATAGATTACTGCAATGTGCTTCCTCACAGTTTTCCTTGATCCCATTCTTGCCTCCCAACAATCTAATCTTAACACTATATTCCAACATAAGTCCGATCACATCATCACTCATCTCAAACCCTGCCAGTATACCTCCATTCTATTTGGAATAATCCTAAGTTCTTATTTTCACCTACAAGGCCCTCTGTGCTCTGGCCTCCCCACTCTTCTTCCTTTTGCTCTATTCCACATGGGCCTCCTTGCTGTTCCTCTGTACACCTCTGCTTTAAGAATCTCAAATTTCTGCCTAGTATCTTTCCTCAGCTACCCCATGGTTCATTCTTTTGGTTCCTTTAGGCATCTTTTCGATTGTTACCCTCTCAGTGAGGCTTCTGTAATATCTTTTCCCTTAAGTACTCCCTAACCATGCATTCCTAGCTTTATTTTTTTTCCATAGCACTTGTTATGAATTGACCTTATACATATTTTACTTACTGGTTTGTAATATGCCTTTCTTCACTAGAATGTAAACTGTCCTCCAGTATCTAAAAAATTATCTGGTCCACAATAACATTGTTTAACAATAAAATCATTTTATTCCCATAGCCTGATGAGCTAGATAATATTTTCCTCTTTTTACAGATAGGAAATTTGAGGTTCAGAAAGATTTTTCAAACTTATACAGCTACTAAATTGAGGAACAATGACTCCGACCTAGGTCTCTCTGGTTGGAGAACCTGTTCTTTTAACTATCACTCTGCTTTATCCCTATTGCTTCATGGATGCCAAGTTATCCTAGGCTTCATGAGGCCCCCATAGAAAAATGTAGGTTCTCTTGGAAGGTGGTTGAGGTTCTGCTAAGTGAAGTTCAATTTGGCTCACATACAAGAGAGGAAGTGCTGTGACCCAGGTCCAAAGTCCCGATGGGCATCCTGGAGCTGCTTAAGCCTCTCACCAACTGACACCTATGGAAAGAACAGGTAGAAAAGCAATGGATCTATTCTAGTTATTTAGTTTGGGATCCCCAGGTTCCAACAGATATCTTTTTCTTTTTTTGGTACCGGCGATTGAACTCAGGGGCACTCAACCACTGTGCCACATCCTTAGCCCTATTTTGTCTTTTATTTAGAGACAGGGTCTCACTGAGTTGCTTAGCACTTCACTTTTACTGAGGCTGGCTTTGAACTCATGATCCTCCTGCCTCAGCCTCCAGAGCCACTGGGATTACAGGCATGTACCACCGTGCCTGGCCCAACAAAAATCTTCATGAACTCCTTTATAGGCTGGCTTTTCTCTGGTTCCAGCCCCTCCAATCATCACCCAACTCCTAGCCTTCCCACATTCTCCAAAGCAGAGAAGAACCACCCTAACTCCAGGTCACAGTCATTCTTGTCCCTGTCTACCCTGAGTGCTCAAATCTAAACAGGTCCCTCTCATTTCTTCAGTTCAATCATTCCCTGTAGCTCAGAGGTAAGAAGCCTATTCCCAGATCACACATTTTCTAGTACTCTTTTTCCATGTAGGTTTCATTTCAATACACTTTCATTTCCTTTGTGCCTGAAGAAGTTTTCCCCAAGCCTAATTACACTAAGGTGCTTCTGCACAGCTCCTTCCAAATTATACTGAGGTGCTTCTGCACAGCTCATTCCAGGCTGTTTTTCTACCTGTAGCTGTTTCCACCGGATGTTGATCTGTTCCAGGGCCCGGGAATTGTCCATTGACAAGTGCACATCAGAAATGGCAAGTTGGTGTGCCAGATCATTCACCAACTTCACTCCATCTTTCATGGGGGAAAATTCTTCTTTGAATAGCTGGAAAACCAGGACCAAAGTAACACAGCAGAGAGTGGGAAAGAACTCATTAGTCATTGACCTCAACTCTTTCCTCTTTACCCAGGTTTTCTTTCAAAAACACAACTTAGGAGCTTTCCTATTAGGGCAACAAGAATAAGTGTGTGTTGCCACTGTTCTCATACTCATCTTCTATTCATCATAGAAAATCAGAGAAAAACAGTAGAAATATAGAGGGAACTACAGCCAAGCCAGTCCCAAATCTAGCACATAAACCAGAAGAGGTTCATTTGTGTTCCAAGACAATGATGGAGTCTCAGCAGGAGGAACATTATCGGGAATCAGGAAAGCATCAGGCCTCAGATGTGACTATAATCAGGGGAGAGGTCCTGCATACCTTAATAGCCTGGATGTGCTCTGGTAGTGAATCAATGAAGAGATCTCCAATAGGTTCCCAAGTGCCTCGGACTCCCTCAGCTTGTGTCAGAGTAGTGCTTAATTCCTCCATTGCCCCTTGGATCTCCAACAGCTGCTCTAGAGTGCGCTCAATATGACGGTGCTGGTCCACACAGCGGGCTGTCAGTTTCTCCCATAGTTCACTGGCTACTGTCGCCTGCTTCCATACAAAGCGGCTAAGATTCTGGATCCGTTGTCTGGGGGAGGTATCTGCAAGTGTAGACAGGAAGCCAGATCAGGCTAAATAGGCCAGAGCAGCCCAAGAAAAGACAGACATCCTTTTGTATAATGTGTGTGTACAGGTGCATGCTTGTGTACATGTTTGCATATATATTCATACTCACACAAATACATATTTTACATGGTTGAGTTCCTTTTGCACATTCAAGTTTCTTTTTCAAATTAAACTTTATTTTGAGATTATTATACATTCTCAGGTAGTTGTAAGAAATAGTACAAAGATCTCACGCCCCCTTTGCCCAAATGGTAACATCTTATATAACTATAGTACAATATTACAACCAGAATTTTGACATTGATACAATCTACCAATTTTGTTCAGAATTCCCACTTTAGTTCTATACAATTTTACCACATGTTGGTTCATGTATCTACTACCACTTTGGTTTCTCCTGCTTACTATATCATCAAGTTTTCTTCATATTTTAAAAAATGGGCAAGGTGGGGCTGGGGTTGTAACTCAGTGGTTTAGCGTTTGACTTGCACGTGTAAGGCACTGGGTTTGATCCTTAGCACCACATAAAAATAAATAAATAAATAAATAAATAAATAAAGAAAGATATTGTGTCCATCTACAACTAAAAAAATATTTTTAAAATGGGCAAGGTAAGTAGTAAAATATGTCAGTCCTATCCATATGACCCTGGGATGGTTTTTGTATTAGTGACTGCTATCCACTTATATCTAAAGGAGGAAGGCATTTTATAAAATTCCAGCACGGATAATGTTGGTATAAAGTGCCCAGGTTTTCTTCCTAGGCTCATAGTTTGTAGATCTCTTCTTCCTCCTTTAGACTTCTCTTTGGAAGAAGATTCAGAGCCCTAAAACCCCAGGCTAATTCAAATCGTCTTGCTTTCTTTTGCTCATGTCTTATCTGTGACCCATTGGGCAACAAATTAAGTACTAGCCCTCCTACTGTGAGGCTAGAAATAAACAGAAAGGGAATGGAACTGACAAAGGGCTCAATTAGTGAAGGCTCCTCTCCAAGATATTTACAGCCTATCTCAGAGGGTTGAGGATTCTTTTTGGAGAAGAGGGCTTGCTGGGCCATCATCCCTTGGCGATTAGACCTAGTCACCATGGATCCTACCCTGCTTCCTTGTAAACCACTGAGAGTATCCCTCTCCATCAAAAGAGGGGCTGGAAGCCATCAAGGTTGTTCTCAAAGAGCTACACTCAATTTTTCTCTCAAAGGTCATTGCCTAATTTTTAAGATTTTAAAAAGGTTTTTAGTTGCTGGTTGATTAGAGTATTGCTACATGTCCCTCTAATGTTGGAGTAAAGTAGTATGTTTGTTGACTTGTTTTTATGCTGGAGATTGAACCCACTGGCACTTTACCATCACTGAGCTATACCCCAGCCCTTTTTACTTTTTAATTTTGAGATAAGGTCTTGCTAAGTTGCCAAGGATAGCCTTGAATTTGCAATGCTCCTGCCTCAGCCTGCAGAGTTGCTAGAAAACAGTACGTTTTGAAAGGACCTACTGCTACTTTTACTCACTGTTAGTTTGATTGATTTGAATGTTTTAAAATATTTTCATGTCTCATTAAAAGGCTTCATGTGATATTCCAGAGAGCCACATACAGCTTTGGCCCATATGCTGGTGATCCCTGTTCCAGGTCCTGTCCTCTTTCAGCTTTTTCTTACAATATGAATCCTGCTTCTTTCCAACTCATGGGAGAAAACTAGCCTCCCTTCTATGAGAAAATGAGTTTGGGGAAAGCAGAAAGGTGTTTGTTTAGTGGTATATAGTTCAAAAAGAAGGGGACAGAACAGAAGACCACTTACCTTTGCTCTCAGAATGAGGCTCCTCTAATTCTTCAAATGGGTGCTGGGACAGGAAGGCCTGAGCTGACTCCAGCACGGAGTAAATATAGGGGCCCCGAGATTTGACTTCTTCCATAAAGGCCTGTGAAGTTTAGCAATGTGGTCAACAGGAAAGGAAAGTCTTTCAATCACTTTAAATTACATTCTACAATTAATAATCTTTCTTCTTATCAGTACAACTTGATTTCTTGGCATTACCAAATGTCTTTGAGTAGGCAGAAGAATAATTCTAACGCATGAAGGTCTATTTAGTATGAGATGAGTCTGGCTGTGTCACAGGATAAAAAGAAATGTGGGGATCTTGTTTTACTGGAAGACTGAGAAAGTCCCTTTTAAGAGAGAGACTAACAGGAATAAAAACAGGATGGGCAGAAATTATATTCATTTTGTAATTTTTGTGAAACACAGAGTACATATATCAGAAGTGCATAGATTGATAAATTTCCATAGAGTGATTCCATCTGTGCAACTAGTACTGAGATCAGGAAATAGAACTCCACCAGCATCCCAAAGGACACCCTGGTGGCCCCTTCTAGTCACTATCTCATCCTTTCCCCTAAAAGGTAACCATGATCCTGATTAATCACCAATTAGTTTTTTGCTTACTTTCAAATATAAGTGGAATAATACAATATGTTTTATTTTTATATTTGGTTGCTTTTCACTTAAGATACTGTTTGTAAATTTCATCTATGTTATACCATGTAGTTATAGCTTATTTTCCTGTTATATTATATTCCATTCTGTTTCATTTTTTTAAAGAGAGAGGGAGAGAGGGAGAGAGGGAGAGAGGGAGAGAGAGAGAGAGAGAGAGAGGGAGAGAGAGAGAGAGGGAGAGAGAGAGAGAGAGAGAGAGAGAGAGAGAGAGAGAGAGAGAGAGAGAGAGAGAGAGAGAGAGAGAGAGAGAGAGAATTTTTAAATATTTATTTTTTAGTTATTGGCGGACAAAACATCTTTGTTTTGTATGTGGTGCTGAGGATCGAACCCGGGCTGCACGCATGCCAGGCGAGCGCACTAACGCTTGAGCCACATCCCCAACCCATTCTGTTTCATTTTTAAGAGATATTGTTATTTTCTGATTATATTAGAGGCAATATATGTCACAAAAATATTTAAAATTTTAGAAAATTATAATCAATAAAATTAAAATGAATTCCAATTCCATCACCTAGAGTTAACCATTGATAATATTTTATATAGTTCCTTCCAATGTCGAGATATATATACATATATATATGCATACATATCTATATACATTTTCATACAATTGAGATTCATCCGAATGTGGTTTTGTATCCTATGCATTTTCACCTGATATCATATTATGTTCATTTCTCCATGATCCTGTTAAAAATAAAGGCAGGATTCTAAATAGGACAGAAAAACTTAGTCTGTGAAATACTATGCACAGACTAGTAGGTCTGCATACAGCCTCCTGTTGATTTGGGTGTCTAAGCAGAGCTGGGTGCCTGTCTATCAGTGTATTATGGAAGGGACTCCTCCCATGATGAGAGGCTATACAATATGGCCTCCAGGATTCTAACTTACCGCATGTGTCTCCTTCTCCTGTTGCACCAGGGCCACATCCCCTTGTAGGGGCAGCTGAGCTGATAACTCCTCATCCTTTTGGCTGAGCCAGTCAATAATTTCTTGTAGAGGGAGCTGAAGCTTTCCACTGTGGTCTGTGAAGGCCTCTAGGCGAGCACTGCACACAATGGGTAAGACCAGTGTTGTTCAATCTTCTTTTTAAGTAACAAAACATATTTTTCTCAAACAAACACTTATGTGGAATTTTAATATATAAAACATATTTAAGAGTAGCTGCTCTAGCTGGAGTGAAAGGACGCCCAAATCCCTCCTTCCTACCCATCCACAGAAGCTCCTGAGGCCCCTCCAAATGGATCACAATACCAAAACCAATGGGTCACACCACAGGTGGTCAGATAACCCAAATTCAAATAGCTTAAATGTCATTTTTTTGAATGTCAGTTACTTCAGTTGAATGCTCATCATCAGGCTGGGAAGGGAAGAAAACTGAGCAGGGACATTAGGGATGACAGCTGTTCCCTTCTCCCCCTGGAAAAATCTAAATCACATAAAACTGTTCATCCATAGAGGCTGTTCTAAGCCTGCCTTCTAAGCACGAGAGGATGTGGGAAATGGAAAGGGCAAGGTAGATGATTGATCAGGGCCACACATATGTGCAAGGATGCATACAAATATAATCAGCCTGAGGGACCCAAAGGATGATAAGGAGTATTGGCTTAAGGTATAAGATATGGAAGAACAAATGTGTACCATATGATCATCTCTACCTCCCCTTACCCAGCAAATGAAACATGAGCTGAGGTCCCAGTGGTAGGAAGTTAGAGGCTAGTCATGGTTGAGTATAGCCACTGAGCCCATTTCCCTTAGTTGGCAATAACAACTATCTTCATGCATTGCTTCCCTAACCTGGGCTAAGCCCTTTACCTAAATCATTGATTCAACTAATTCTCACAACAACCTTATGGGATAGGCATCACTATTGCCCAGGGAGGTTAAGTAGTTTTCCCAAAGTCACACAGTTAAGAGTCACTGGTAGTGCTATGATTTGAACCCAGGTTATCTGACTCCAGGGCTGGCATTCTTTCAACTTCTCCACATTGCCTCACCCTCACCAGAGCCCACCAGAAGCCAGGAGTTTGGGCTTTGATGATGGGGTGGAGAGGAAAAATGTCAGGCACACATAGAGAGGTAGGGGGAAGAGAATAACATCTAAAAATTGTCTTCAGGCTCTTACTGGGTTTCCCTTAGCTGGGCTGAAAACTAATGGGTAGGAATAGAGGGCATTAAAAAATGGGAAACAAACATGAGACCCACAGAGATAGAGGACAGCTATGAGAGGAAGTGGAGGAAGGGGGAATAATTTTCTTCATTTACGTATCAGCGTGTTTAAGTTTAGAAAACATTTCACATTCTATTTGAATTCTCATGACAACACTGAGGTAGTAAGGATAGGTATTATTCCTTCACTGATTTTCCCCCTTAAAACAAAACAAAACAAAACAAGTAGAAGCTAACATTCTGAGAACTCAAACAACTTATCCAAGGTGACACAACTACTTAAAATTGAGGCTCAAATTTAAATGTCCTAAAGAATTTAGGGTTCTTTCCCCAGTGCCAGAGAAGGAGGGGGAGAAATTATCTTCAGGCTCTTGCTGAGTTTCTCTTATCTTGGCTAAAAACTAATGGGTAGGAATAGAGGGCATTAAAAAAGTGGATAGTAAAGCTGAGAAAAGGAGGGGACACAGGCTTGAGAGGAGAATGACAAAGTACAACAGCTAAAGAAGCCCAATGCTGTCACAGCCAATTCTTTATGGGTACCTGTTTCTAGGGGCCAGGCCTTACCGGAGGTTGTGAGACTTCTTTTTTATTTCATTCCAACACAGATTCATGGCTGATGGTTCCAGGGGGTCAACGGCACCAATAGACCCGTTCAACAGCTTTGGACTTAGGCAGGGAACCCTGGCACCATCCTGAGAAGGTGCAGGGGAGGTGACAGCAGCTCTAACCTGGACAGAAACACAGACATCCTTTGATCCCTGGAGTGTGCCATGCCTTCATCTATGTCTAGCCAAGGGTGGAACAAGAGTAAACAACAAGAGAGAAGAGCTGGTCCCAGGGTTCAGAAATCCTATTTTCTATGGGTGTGTTCAGAGGGTGAGATACAAAAAGAGTCTGTGACCCCTATTCATTGCAAGGCTTTCTCTTGTTACAGGTCAGTCCATAGAAATGCTGACTACTATTATTACTACTCTTATTGTAAGTTCTGCTAGGACCACTGTCCAGATGGGATTCTGAAAGAACTTTTGCATTAAGTAAGAAGCTGGTTGGAATTGCCCAAATGCTGACAACCATAGCATTCAAATTGAGCCATAGGCTCATATTTCAGGGTCCCACAGTTTAACTAATCTTCTAGAAAATAAAGCTGAGAGGCTGGCCCATAAAGATTCAGAGAGGGGGCACTGGGGATATAGCTCAGTTGGTAGAGTGTTTGCCTTGCATGCACAAGGCCTTGGGTTCAATCCCTAGCACCACAAAAAAAAAAAAAAAGATTCAGAGAGGGAGCAGAACAACTAGAGCTGTCAGTAGTATATATTCTACTTCCCAAATGGACTTAGGCCTTTATGTGGTCTCTTCACTTTCCCACCTGTACATCCCACCAGTCAGGAAGGTTGGAAATCATCCTAAAGAGATGGTTAAGAAGATGAGCATGAACTAAGAGAGGACTTAAGCAGCAATCTGAATCCTGATCTCCAAAGGACTTTGACCCAAAGTCAGCAGCCAAGAGGACAAGCCATGGAACTTACCAAGCTCTTGCCTTGGGAACTTTGGCTCATAGTCCATTACTTGCTCTGCCATGTACTAGTAGGATCCTATTAGGTTATTGTGGGGGTTGGGGGAAGGGTAGTTATGCTATATAGCCTTTAAGAAAGTAGCTACCCATAGCACAGTCCCAAGCCTGCCCAGCCAAGGATCAGGATAGGGCAAGGGAAAGGGAATTAGAATAGGAAATCTCAACTTGAGCTGCTCTTCCCCAGCCAGAGACCCTCAGGCCTGCCTGTCTATTTTGCTGCTTTCCTGTGGAAAGAAACTGGCTCCGCTAGTGGCTGAGACTCCTGTAATCTCCCTTGCCTTTAAACCATACTTTGTCCTCACACAAGATTCTCCAGGCAATCTAGGAAATCAATCATCTCTTTAAAACCACAGCTCTCAACCACACTATGAAAGCTAAGTGAGGGAGCTGCCAAGCTCTGGGGACCACGCTCAGAACTCAGCCACCCTGTGGTTCCTGACCTGACCCTACCTGTGCTGCCTGGGGAGTCCATGGCCAGATCAGGCAGCTCCATGATTATCTCTCAGCAGGAATCCAGATCCAGTGTCTAGTGAGCCACAGGCAGGCAGAGTCCTGATGAGCTCTGAGCAATCCTACTCAGGGAGGCAGGAAGAACTGAGCCAGGCCAGGAGGCGGGGGCTGTTACCCTGTTTGTTTATTGACCCCCCAGGAATCTGGAGGGGGCGGCTATGTCAGGGCCTGGCTGTTGAATCAGAGCTTTGTTCCTGCAGAATTCCGGCTTGCTCCCAACTGGGCCCGCCACACCAGGGCCAGGATGGCCCTCCCAGGCTGGCAAGGATGGCAGGAGTGGGACTGGGCATTCCATGGTGCTTAGGAGGGGCATACAGAGAGTAGCTTCTGTTGATTTATTTTCCCTTTCCATGGAAGACACAAAGGGCTCACTCCACCTCCAGGTTCATGCCATCCTCTGAGGGAAAGGATCAGACCTCTTTGGTGACAAACCTCTGGTAAGTAATTTCCCCAAGGCCTGGCAGGATGATAAGTTTGGGAGACAAGCCTTCTCCTCAACTCAGTAACTAACTAAGCTTCCTCAGAGGCAGTAAGGAATATATGAGGCACACCTGTAGACAGATCCATGGGATGGTAGCAACAGGAAGCAGGGACAGCCTTTTAATTTAATTCTCATTGAATGAGTGCAGGGGCCAAAAGATTCATTGGAGCCCACTGTGAAAATATGGGAGTGCCCTTCCCTGACTTTGAGAGAGAGAGGATTGAAGGAAGAGTCATAACATTGAAATTTCTCACTGTACTCTGAAGACAGAGGAACATGGATGGTCTCTGGGATTCCCTTTGGAGCTGTTCAGGAAAGGGAAGGGCAACAGAATCTAGCAGCTCCATGCAGGGTGCCAGTGTCAAAGAGGTTCCTGTAAAGCCCATGTTACCCTTGGTGGAGCCCAGGGAAGCCCTTTCCCATAAGTCACTGACCAAGGAGTGGAGCCCCTCCTGGAAGTGGCTGCTCTTTTCCATATCTAGCAGACTTGCCTGGGAAAAGGTTAACATTCCTGAGCTGGGTTCCCACCCCTCAGCACTTAGGGAAAACACTTCATTTTTACCAAAAAGAGTTCTGTTCTCATCCTCATTTATCTCCCACAGAGTCTTCTGGGCTTTCCACAGTTCCACATTGTTTCCATGCTGAGGCCCACCTACAGGAATAGTTGGAACAGCTGTCTGACCCTTTCTAGGGGTTTTGGGTGGAGCCAACTGTGGTGGCTAGGGGATGATAGGCCAAGAGTGGGGAGTGGCTCTAACTCTTAGATGCAGCTTCTCTTGTTCTGGCATAACTGGGCTCAAGTCAGTCTCACAGAGACCTCTGGAGTGAATATACCCCAGAGTTAGAAATAGTCCTTTGTGACCTAGCCATAACCAAGTTGTCCTGGCTGTCCTGGAGGAAGCACCCACGATAATCTGGGTTCCATCCATGTTAGCTTTTAATTCCCTCCAGCCGTCTTGGTTTCCTAACCCCCACCCAGCTCCCACACTATTCTCCAGTACCCTGTTCTCCCCTCTCCCCCAGTTCTCTTTATACTCTCAAGTCCCACCTAACAGAGCCAGGCACAAAATAGGCAAATCATGAAAAGTAACTGTTTTCTATTTCCTTATCAATTGCTTCTACTTCTGGCTTTTGTGGCCAAGATGTCCACTTCTCACACCCCCCGCTCCCCAAAGGGCTTTCTACACATCCCTTGAAACCTTGAGACAAAGGCTGTGTGGGAAGAGAAACTAAACCATGGCAGAAAAGAGTAGTTGGGATATACCATTCACACTCACAAAATAAAGTTCTCAGGCCCCTCTGCCTAGGTGGTGAAGCCTGGAATGGGTGAACATTGAGCAAATCAGCCTTTTAGAAGGGCCCAGGCATCTCAATTTTGCAACCCCATGAAAGCCTCACTCCAGGAAAGGGGTAGGTAACTGGCAGACTCATAAAATGACCCTGGGTTTGATAATATGCTAGAGCTAGAAATTTCTCTCTGGCTAGATGTGGGAAACAATTCAGAAGGACCTGACCTTCGTGTCTCCTGGACCTGGACCTTCCCTCATTATCCTCTACATATAGGCTCCCCAGAACCCACATTCTTCATCCTACTTTCTCCCTCCTTTCTTCTCCCTGTACATTTAGCTGCCCTTGGTACCCTAGAGTGACACAGCACTGCAGTCCAATTGTGAGACTCTAGGAGACATAGTGCTTGCTCACATCCCTGTGGCCCCCAGATCTCAAAGCAACCCAAAGTATACTTATGCATCTCCCTTCAACTTTCTTTGGACCTCCCTCATCATCAGGAAAGATAGATGCCCTCTCTAGATTACTGTCTTTCACATATCGTCTACCCTCCTACCAGCATACACATACAGATATATACACTGCCATCACTGTGTTAAGAAGGGAGAAGAGAGAGAGAGAGGAGAGACAGGTATGAAATCAGGGAGTTCTAATCTTGGTTGAGCCAGGAACTACAGGGAATACTGGGGACTTGAGAGGAAGAGCCAATGGCATGAGAAAGATACCTGTAGAATGTGAGGTATATCACAAAGCAAGGGAAGGCCTTGATTTGTCCTAGGCAATGCCTTGAAGGTCCATGCTATTCTTGAGCCTCCCCAGATCTGTAACTCACAGTGGGCCTTTTGGCTTTCCCAGCCCAACACCTTCCTTGCACCATGCCCTCAATAAAAGGCCTTATCAGTGATCATGGATGGACCTCAAAGAGACCCCATGCTATCCAAAGGGTTTCATGCATACAGTGAACACCCCTAAGCCTTAGGAAACATGGGTACCCCAAGGACTCACATAGATTCCATGTCCACTCTTTCTCCACAGGTCTTTCTTTTATTCTTGGACTCTTACCTGAGGCTGGGTGCTTCTGAGACTGCTGCTCTGATGGAATCTGTCAGCAGCCCGCCATTCATGACATCGTGGAAGGGTGTAAGGGCATCCCTGCATGACCATAGGTTGCATCAGAACCAAGGCTCATGGGGAGTGAGGATGGGCAGTAGACTGACTTTTGAGCATTAAGCACCTGGAAGAATAACAAGAACAAATTTAGAGTCAAGACTAGAAAAAGTCTGTGAATTCAGCACCTACCCACAAGTGCCTTGATCAGTTATGTAAATAAGTATTCAAAGCTTACTGATGATCTATTAATTCTTCCTTAGCCACCATATGCCATAAAATACTTTAATTATTGATTAAGTCATTATTCATTATTTACATGCTAGCTTGATGCCAATGATACAAAGATGAATTGATGCCTGAGGTAGGCAGGGTAGGCAGTCAGGTAAACTAATAATTATAACAGAATGTTCACATAGGCAAATGTTACAATCAAGATTGGACTGGAAGGCTAGGGGAGCAGAGAGTGGGGAACAGATAACTCAATTTGAGAATGTGCAGACTCAAAGACATTCTATTTGAGATAAGTCTTGAAAGAAGAGTAGATGTTTGCCTATGCAGAGAGGAGAGAAATGGAGAAGGGCATTCCTAGCAGATCAACCCACTTTTGCAAATGCTGACGTCACAAAAAGGCATAGCATAGGCTTGGGTTGTGGCTCAATGGTAGAGTGCTTGACTAGCACATGTGAGGTACTGAGTTCTGTCCTCAGCACCATATAAAAATAAATAAATAAAGGTATTGTATCCATCTACAACTAAAAATATATTTTTTAAAAAGAAGACAGTATATTCAGAGAATAGTGAATTCAGTCTAGCTAGAGTTTAGGAGGAACAGAGAAGAAAAAGTCATGGAGCCTGATCCTGAGGAGTTCACATATAGAGAGAACACATACGGGGAAAATAGAGACTATGAAGTGTTATTTTCATTGTAATAGATGTATTTATGGGATTGAGTAAATAGACAGATGAGGGAAAGATGACTTTTATCCGGTAAGTTCAAGCGCATTCAAGAACAATGAATATGCTTGAGGTGAGTCATGAAAATGAAATGGAACTTCCAATAGGCAAAGAAGATAAAACAAGCCAACCAGGCATGGTGGCACATGCTTGTAATCCCAGCAGCTCAGGAGGCTGAGGAAGGATGGTCATGAGTTCAAAGCCAGCATCAGCAACTAGCAAGGCCCTAAGCAACTCAGTGAGACCCTGTCTCTAAGTAAAATACAAAATAGGGCTGGGGATGTGGCTCAGTGGTCGAGTGACCCTGAGTTCAATCCCCAGTCCAAAAAGAGAAAAAAGATAAAACAAAAAATAACATTCCAAACAACACAAAAATAAAATGTGGTGTGTTCAATGTGATCAGAGGACAAGGTAGGTGCTTTGTGTGGTGTAGCAGGAGATAAGGCTGGAAAATGAGGCTCTGGCCAGATTGGGACATGCCTTAAATGACAAACAGAGGATTCTAGCCTTTATCTTGAAGACAACAGGGAGGCACTTTGAGCAGTAGAGTGACATAACCAGAATTTCATTTTATAAAGAGTCCTCTGCCTGCCTTGTGGAGTGATTCTCCCAAGGGAAGAACCCATTGAATAGCTGGTATAGCAGGCAGGCTATGAGGATAGAGCAGGCAGCATAGCTTGGCAATACATAAGAGAGAGAAAATGTATTTGGCTCAGTGATCAAATGGATGTGAAAGGTAAGGGACATGAAGGAGTTCTTAATTTGGGAGCTGGATGGACAATACTGCCAACAGCAAGAGAGGGAAGACAGGAGAAAGAGAAAATTTGGTATGCTAAGAAGTCTGAGAATAGTGTTACATAATAGCTGTGCTTATAAGTTTTAGGTGTCAGGAGCTAAGCTTAGAAAAGGAGAGTTTTGAGCAAAACTTTTAAATGTACAAACCAATTGATGGTTTAGTGAATATATACAAATGTACACAAATGTGATGAGCATGGGTGGCAAAGATGATGCTTGTAAATGATAAAGGTGCTCTCTCTTAATGCCTGGCAAAATACATAAAAATCCGAATCTAAAGGGCAAGAACTGAGTCTCTTGAATTCCCAATGCTGATGATTAAACAGCCACCATTTTTAGACTCTATTCCAGTGGTTCCCTACATTTTAGGTGTAAGGGCCCCTTCTTAAGATTTAAAAAAAAAAAATCTCACTTCACCCACTCATGCCCA